GGGGGGTGTCTGTGATATTGTGCAGCCACAGAGATCCTTCCTAGTGTCAGAGGGCAAGGAAGACATAAAGATAACTTCCCCATCTCATACAATACCTCTGTGTATTTCTGCCTTGTGTATAAACTTATCAACGGGAGTTTTGTATTAATTCAGTTCCGGTGTCATCGCTGATAGTCAAGAGTCAAACTCCTCAGTATATACACGCTATATGAACATACTATATGAGAATAAAGTGGATCCCTTATCTGATTAACATATAGCTTACTACAGCACAGTGCATCATTCACATCTCTGCAGCACCCGCATGCCATCCTGCATCCCATGAGATTGCATGTTGCAATGTTTGGTGTGCTGCGGTGCCATTATTTCCTGCGGTGCCATGCAGGGACAGAATCCTGTGACAAAAGCCATGCAGGGACAGCAGTCTGTGACACATGCCATGCAGGGACAGAGTCCTATGACACATGCCATGCAAGGACAGCAGCCTATGACACATGCCATGCAAGGACAGCCGCTTGTGACATATGCCATGCAGGGACAGCAGCCTATAACACATGCCATGCAGGGACAGCAGCCTAGAACACATGCCATGCAGGGACAGCAGCCTATGACACATGCCATGCAAGGACAGCAGCCTATGACACATGCCATGCAAGGACAGCAGCCTATGACACATGCCATGCAAAGACAGCAGCCTATGACACATGCCATGCAGGATATGATGTATGTCCCGGTGTATCTGAAGCGCAGAGGGAAGCACGCCGGAGGTTTTCCTATGCAGGGACCTGCAGCTAGTGAGTTCGTGATGCAGAGGGGGCCGGACTTGACAGGTGGGAGGGGCCGGCACTGGCAGGTGGGAGGGGCTCTTTACCATTCATGGACTTGACTGACATGTACAGTAGAAGCGGACCAATCACATGGCGGGGGCTGGCTCCGCTCCAGTGTACGGGGATAGGCTGGGTGTGAATTGGCCTGCAGCAGCAGCACTGATTCCGGGGATCGGACACACACCTCCTGCCGGGACCCCATCATCGCATCCCGGAGACTCACCCCCCGCATGGCACAACTGTTCCCGGGGCTGCTGGAGTGATGAAGAGCCCCGGTACCCGGGGAGAGGAGGGGGGAGCCGGACACTCCGGTCTGATGGATGACAGTCACTGACAGCTCACAAGTAAGAACTTCTCCGGGGCTGGGGGGAGCGGGCTGTGTGTGTGTGGGGGTCCCTGACTGCAGGACTGCGGAGCTCTGTACGGGGACCCCATCACTGGGATCTCTTCATAGGTGGATCGCTGGAGAAATTATGTAGGGATCTCTTTGCAGGAGGTGTGTATAGGAATGATGAGAGAACCTCATTGCAGCTGGATCTATATGGGAATGATGTGGAATCTCAATAGGAATGGGAGATTTGGGAATCTCATTGCTGGAGGATCTCTAGAGGAATAATTTGGGAATCTCATTGCTGGAGGATCTCTAGAGGAATAATTTGGGAATCTCATTGCTGGAGGATCTCTAGAGGAATAATTTGGGGATTTCATTGATGGAGGATTTCTAGAGGAATGATTTGAGGGATCTCATTGCTGGAGGATCTCTAGAGGAATGATTTGGGGATCTTATTGCTGGAGGATCTCTAGAGGAATCATTTGAGGGATCTCATTGCTGGAGGATCTCTAGAGGAATCATTTGAGGGATCTCATTGCGGAGGATTTTTAAAAAGGGATCTCATTGCTGGAGGATCTCTAGAGGAATCATTTGAGGGATCTCATTGCTGGAGGATCTCTAGAGGAATGATTTGGGGATCTTATTGCTGGAGGATCTCTAGAGGAATGTTTTTGGGGATCTCATTGCTGGAGGATCTCTAGAGGAATGATTTGGGGATCTTATTGCTGGAGGATTTCTAGAGGAATGTTTTTGGGGATCTCATTGCTGGAGGCTCTCTAGAGGAATGATATGGGGATCTCATTGCTGGAGGATCTATATATGAATGTTTTTGGGGATCTTATTGGTGGAGGATTTCTAGAGGAATGCTATGGGGATCTCATTGCTGGATGATCTCTATAGGAATGACTTGGCGATCTCATTGCTGGAGGATCTCTAGTGGAATGATTTGGGAATCTCATTGCTGGAGGATCTCTAGTGGAATGATTTGGGAATCTCATTGCTGGAGGATCTCTAGTGGAATGATTTGGGAATCTCATTGCTGGAGGATGTCTAGAAGAATGATTTGGGAATCTCTTTCTAGGATTCCTCTGTAGAAATGATGTGAAGATCTCTTCAGGAATGGTGTAGGGACCTTTTTACAAGCGGATCACCATATGCCCACCAGTGATGTAAGGGTCTCTTTTTAAGGATCTTTTAAGGATGGAATTGTGTACAGGTTTTTTTTTATGATCTCTTCAGGAATGTTGTGGGGGGTCTCTTTCTGGAAATCTCTTCAGGAATGGTGTGGGGGTCTCTTTCTGAAGATCTCTTCAGGAATGGTGTGGGGGTCTCTTTCTGAAGATCTCTTCAGGAATGGTGTGGGGGTCTCTTTCTTAGGTCCTCTTTAGGAATGGTGTAAAGGTCTCTGTGGATCTCTTTAGGAATGGTGTGAAGGTCTTTTTCAATATTTTTATAGAAATGGTGGGAGAGTCTGTTCCTGGAGATCTCTTCAGGACTGGTGTACAGGTCCCTTTCTGAGGGTCTAAGTAGAAATGGTGTGATGGTCTCTTTCTAAAGATCTCTATAGGAAGGAACGGTGTGAAAGTCTCTTACAGTGGATCTCTATAGGAATGGTGTGAGGTTCTCTTTTTCAAGGCAGTCTAACAGATTGATTTTGGGATCTCTTTTAAAAGGAATCTCTATAGGAATGATGCAAATACCTCTTTATAGGGATCATTATGTTAGAATCTCCCCATGGGGAGGTCTTTATATGAGTGACCTGGGGGCTGTGTGACTACAGGAATAATAGGGTTATCTCAACTGAGGATCTCTTTAGGGATGATGTGGGGATTTCTTTATAGAGACATATCTTATAGAAATGATCTTGGGGATCTTTATGATCTGGGGGATTTCTGACAGTAGGATTTTTTTATCTGTATAGAGTGATATTTATAACAGTGATGTAGGGATATCATTATAGGGGGATCCATGACTTCCATGGTGATCTCTGTTTGGGGGGGATTTGTGACTGCGGGGATCTCCTTGTAGAAGGATCGCTATACATTATGTACTCTATGCACTGAGGAATCACTGTGGATCTCTAGCACTGGTCGTCTGCAGAGCTCTGGGTTTTCTGGATGGGTATCTGTGGATGTGGGAGATCTCAGAGTGTGGGGATCTGGCAAGGACACGGGGATGTCCCTGCCAGCTGTGGTTGATTTGTGCCAGTGATGTGGGGATCCCTGGATCCAGGATCATCTATCAGTAAGGATGCTGGACTGTGTCAGTGTGCATTAAATTCACTGCTGGTGGCACACAGGGAGAGCTGCATAGCTGCACGGTGTAGCAGGTGATTGCATTGCAATTACCATCTCCCAGAGCTCAGCATGGTCTGTTGACTGTCAATGTGAACAGGCATTGCTCAGTACAATATCTGGATCTACTCATCAGTGTGACTGCAGCACACTGCTAGAGTATGTGTCCGGTGTGTGTGTGAAAGCTGCAATTATTGCATAGAACATCAGCCAGTCACATGCCCTGCTCTGGCCAATAGCAATGCAGCTATATTCTCAGTGAAATGTGTTCAAATCTTACCATGTGGGTTCACCTGAGTGCAGGGCTGATGTTTGCCTGGCCGCCTGTGTCATCGGTGTCACCTACCTCCTTATCTCACCTGTGTCCTTATTGTAGGGTCAGCAGGAGAAGACTATGGGACTTTTGGGGGCACATCTGCATGTAGGATGTAAAAGCCTTAACTGCTCAAGCAAGCCTTGCATCATAAATCTCCTGCTACTGTATGTGTGTAGTTTTATTGACATTTGCTTCATTTGCAGCACATTGATTTCAACCTGTTCCAGTCTTTAATAGACATATGAAAGGTATTACAGGGGTTATAAAGTAAACCCATACCATATGACATGAATTACTTGCATGAGAAACATATCAGACCATGCAGCCAAGCACTTGCCTACGAGCTATGAGCTAGTGACATCACTGTGACAAATTTATATAAAGCTAAATATTTGTGTTGGCTTTGGATGGAATGTAGACGGGTTATAACCCCCTGTCGGTTTGTATTGCTGTTCCTGCTGGGGGGATTCACCCTTTCTATTTGTCCTGGTGACCACTTGCAGCACTGAAAGTGCAAAACATTTTGGTTGTCAAGCCAACATGGCAGCATGAATTTAGCATTCTCAAAAGGAGAGTTCAGCAATGGTCCTAAGATGACTATGGCCCTTTAAGGGCCAAATTATCAGTCAGTATGCTCTTAGGAGGAAACCCAGACAAGCTTCATGCAGACGGTGTGCTTGGTGGGATTAGAACCCCAGGTTGGGTTTAGTGTAGTGTATTAATACTTACTAGTGAGTCACTTACATAGAACAAGCATGCAGGACCGGCGTGTATGCCCTTCAGACTGCGCTGTCTGTCTGCTTGTTCCAGGTCCATGACTCACTAGGTAATCTAGCCTGGATTGGGATGACATCCCTGATAGCAATGGAAGCTTCCATATTTCGAACTGGTTCCTTTTACCCAGTTTAGTCATAGGTGGGCCAGAGCTGTAGCTAACTCCTTTTGCACCCAAGGCAAAAAACAAAAAAGTGCCCCCCCAACATGCGTGTGATGTCACCCAGCGCAGCGCACGCGAGGTGTCATGTGATGTTATGCGCCCCGCCTCCAGGATTTGCTTTTCTATCATTTTTTTTTTCTTTTCAATTTCATTTTCATTTTTTTACTGTTGGGGGGGCTCCAGGGAAATACTAGGGGTCTTAACAGCCGTCTGATATTTCCGTTTTAAAATAGAAAAAGAAATTGAGGACACAGAGTGCTCAATCTCTTTTTCTGCAGACTCTGTTCTAAATGAATGGAAAGTACAGAGGCTTCCCATTCATTCAGAAAATATTTTCTATCAACCAGTTTCTGAATGGGGAGAAGCCTCTGTACAGAGTGCTACTACCCATTCAGCAACTCTTGAATTAACAGGAAGTGATGTAAAGCACTTCCTGTTTATTCATAACTGGGGACACATAGTACTATGTGTCCCCAGTCATTTACAAACACTGGAGTGATCAGCTGATATCACTGATATGTACCAATCCTCCGCTGTTCGGCCGCGCACAGAGAGGCGGCACAGCCTGAAGCCTTTCCTCTGGATCCCTGCTGCTCTTCCCCGCCTGTATGGGCAGAGGCAGCGGGGATCCGAGAAGTGAAAAGCTGAAACTGGCGGGGGAGTAAAGAGGGAGCGCTGTCACAGCAGCATGGTCGAGCGGTGAGGAGAGAGAGAGCCGCCGCTGTCAGATCCTAGCTGAGCGGCTCTCTCTTCTCACTGCTCGGCCATTCCTCCCTCCTCCGCCCCCCCTGCTAGCTTCAGCGCTTCACTTCTCCTCGGATCTCCGCTGCCTCTGCCCATATAGAACAGGGAGAGCAGCGGGGATCCAGATGAGAAGCTGCAGGCTGTGCCACCCCACTTCTCAGTGCCGTGCTGCGTCCCCCCCCCGCACCTGCGCCAGAGGCAAGAGCCTCAGTCGCCTCACCCTCGCTACGGCCCTGCTGTGGGCTTCCACGTATTTATATCGGGAGTGTTGTGATGTCACAAGTGGTGTCATGGCACCTTCTGTCAGTACCAAGGCTGGGGTAGAGCTGTTGCCGCTCGGTCCAGTTCCTCCCTATAGCAGTACATCACTGCTATAGTTATCTATTTCGGGCTAATTGCAGCCAGCAGTATATTACTATTAAAAGTTATCTGCTGCTTCACAGCTGCATGTGAGGGTCAGAAAAAAAAAAGTGGGAAAAGAAAATAGAAAAAAATTACATATATATATATTCTAAAAATAAATAAAAAATATTTCCTCACCAGATTCATTCTCAGGTGGCAACAATGACGTCGGATGATCTTGATAACATTTGCATTCCCTGTGCAAGCATCAAATGCTCCCGCAAGTGAATGTAATATCATTTGAATTTTTTGCTATCACACACCTGTGCAAAAGTCGCCATCATGTTAATTTGTGCCATCGTCAAGCCAACGTAATCTTA